AAGGAAGGAAGTTTGGTGTTCCAGTGGGTGGTGAAAGTAATGATATGAGATTCCAACTGAGAACACACCCACCAAAAGACCAGTGGAGTGGGGGATCACTTCGTGAGGAGAATCTTGTTGAGTCCAGGTGAACGATCCACAACAAGATTCAGGATGCCAGGAACATGACAAACTAAGACCATTATGTAGTGCCTGTGGACCCAGAAAAGGAAATCCAGGGTCTGAAAGTGCAGAGACCTTGCTTGGTGATACGAGTGACCGCTGTGAATTGTCGGAATGTACTGCAGGAGAGAAAAAAGTGGGACAAGGCTTGATGAACTACCATAAGTTCAAAAATGTTGAAATGGATAGAAGATTCCCCAACCGGCCAGAGACCAGAAATCTCATGAGTGTTGAGGTAAGCACTCCAACGCTCTAAAGATGTGTCTATGAACAGATGTAAACCCAATGAGGTGGAAGAAAAGAAATCCCTACTGTTATCTGGTCCCTGTTTAGCCACCAAGTCAGGCCAGCCCTGATCATGGAAGGAAGGGATCCAAGAAATTCCACTGAAGGGAATTTCCACTGAGGGAAATCCATATCCCCAAAAGATATGGAACATCTTGAGCTGGGAGAGAATGTGAGGTGAGGGCCTTGTGGACTGCTTGCTCCTTATCCTGAAGACAAATAGGAAAAGGCTGGGCCTGAATGAGGTTGGAATTGAAGAAAACACCTAAATGAACAAGGTATTGGGTGGGGTAAAATGGACTTGTCCACCTTTATCAAGAACTCCCCCCTATGCTGCTTCTTATAGGAACAGATGAATTGGTCTTTGGACTGTGAACAGGATGGAGTGCACAGGAGCCTGTAGTCCATGTAATGATGACTGCAAAGACCCATCAAGTGAAGATGTTGGGAAAAGTTCTTACCACATTACAAAACACATAAGGAGCTGAGGTTAGTCCAAATGGTAGGGCCCTAAAATGGAACACTCGAGTTCTAGCTATAAATAACTATCAACAATGGGGTACTGTGGGAACAAACCCTGAATTTTAGAGTATGAGGAGAAAAATTGAATTCTAGTACAAGAATATAGAACAAACCTCCACCAAAGTGAATGATGTGGAGCCATGGCAACAGGAGCAGAGAAAATAAAACTAGTAAAATCACCCTTGTCTCAAACATACAGAAAAAAATGAATATGCATCAACTGTTGACCTGAATAACCAGCTGTAATAAAGGGTGTGGGAGGTGAAATCTCCTGCAGAGGTGTAGAATGTGACAGACCAAAATTAGAAGGTGCCAAAAAAGAGAGTCCAAATTGTCTTCTCCTTGATTGTATTATTTCTCAGCAACATTGTCAGGTTGAAAAGGAGAAGAAATCATCAGTCAATATATGAATCTAGCTTCCTGGGAATTAAAGCTTGTATCTCCTCTGCAGATAAAGTCAAACCCGATTCCTGGGAAGTCATATCAACAACATTGTCAACTGCAAGGAGAACTACCATAGTTGATACATTGAGTTGTGAATTCATAAGTAATTCTTGTATAATTAAGTAACAAGAAACAAATGCCAAAAATATATATATATATATATCGTTGAAACAGTTGAAACTGTTGAGAAAAAATATTGAAATTGTAAATAAGCATAATCATCGATGGTAGCCACATAGAAAAAACACATGTCTAAATGAAGCTGTGACAATTGAGAAAGTGAAAATTGAGTGGGAATAGCAGAGGGAGCTAGCTGCACCAATATAGGTGGTGCAACACTATTGGTGGAGAAAAATCACATGATATGTACATGCTCAAAAATGGAAAAAAGGAAACATTTTATAGCAATGCTTAGATGGCAGAAAGAAGATCAAGATAGCTTTGTGTGAGAGAAGGTAAAACCATAAAGGAACCTAAAATATGTATATGTATGACTAGAGTTGTAGTCCCATCAAATTTATGGCCAATAATCATAATGACCAAACTATGCAGAAACATTAATAACGCAGCAAAATCTGAGGAAATTTCTTTACAAAAAATCCTCTAATAGCTGGGTAGTAGTCCCATCAATTGTAGAGTCTAGAATCATAATGACCAAAACAAGCAGAGGTAAAACAACAAAATCTCTAAAACATCCTCTTATACTTGATTGGCTAGTAGTCCATGAGCTTTGTAATCTGTAATCATACTGGCAACACCATATGGATACAATAAGTCGAACAAAAAACTAACAAACATCTATAAAAAATCCTTATATGGCTACAACAGTTGTACCCCAGGCTTTGAGCCATAACCCTTTCCAGAAGGGTCACGGGTGAAAGGCCATGTCATCTCGTTTGTTGATTCGCATTCAAAATTTTATTGAACTACTATTTCATGAATTT